CTGAGCCCCAGTCCCAGCCCCAGACCTGACAGCATTCCACTTATTGATTATTGATTTTATTTCTTAAGCTTTAGAGGTCTTGTTGAGGAAGTTGGTCCCTGCACATATATGATGGAGTATTGATAGTGCACAATTTTTTGAACAAGACCCTAAATGCATAGGAAACAAAAGCAACCATAGACAAAAGGGATTACATCAAATAAAAATGTTCGGTATTGTTGTTGTGCACAGTTGCACAACACCTGTAGTCTCGGCATCTTGGGAAGCAGAGGCAGGAGGATAGGGATTTCAAAGCCAGCCTTGGCAACTTAGCAACTGAGGCAGGATAATCACAAGATTGAGGCTAGCCTCAGCCATTTAGCAAGGCCCTAAACAACTTAGTGAGACCTTGTCTCAAATTTTAAAATTAAAAGATCTGGGGATGTTGCTCAGTGGTTAAGCACCCCTGAGTTCAGTTCAATCCCTGGTACAAAAAAAATTATGCATTGCAAAGGACACTGAAGAGAGTGAAGAGACAGCCTACAGGGTGGAGAAAATATTTGCAATGTATCCATCTGACAAGAGTTGAAATCCAGATATACAGATTATATAAGGAACTCTAAAGATTCAATATCAAAAAATAATAATAACGATTAAAAACTGGGCAATAGATATAAGTAAACATTTCTCTAAAGAAATCAACATCACCTATCATCAGAAAATTGCAAATCAATACTACAGAGAAATATCAGCATATCCCAGTAAGAATGAAGACTATCAAAAAAAACTGCAGATAACACATTTTGGAAAGGATGTGGAGAAAAGGGAACACTTGCACACCACTGATGGAAATTTAAATTAGTGCAGCCATTATGAAAAATAGTATGGACTTTCCTTTAAAAGTTAAAAATAGAACTACCATAAGATCCATCAATCTTCTACTGGATATATACCCAAAGGAAATGATGTCAGTATGTTGAAGAGACATCTGCATTACCATGGTTATTGCAGTACTATTTACAATAGCCAAGAAATGGAAACAACCTAAATGTCTATCATTTGATGAATGATAAAGAAAATATGGTACATATGCAAAGAAATAGTATGTAGCCATGAAAAGGGTGAAATCCAGTCATCTGAGATAACATATTTATTATGAGATTATTATGTTAAGTTATTATGAAATAAGCTTGTCAAAGAGAGACAAGTACCACCTGATTTTATATATGGAATCTAAAAATGTTGATTTTACAGACGTTGAGAGTACATTGGTCGTTAACAAAAGCCAGAACAGTGGTAGAGGAGAAAAGGATGGGAAAAGTCTGATCAATGGGTACAAAGTTATAGTTAGATAGGAGCAAGAAGCTCTGAGATACCATTTCACAGTGTGTGGATTATACATAACAATTATGTACTATCCATTTCAAAAAGCTAGAAGAAAAGATTTTGAAAGTTTTCAAATGATAAATATTTGAGGACATAAATATGTTTAACCTGATTTTAACATTATGCAATGCACACATGTATCAAACATTACATGGTACCCCCACAAATATATAACTACTTCTATTTTTTGTGTGTATTAGTTTAAAATTTTTAAAAATGAGAAAAAAATCACCTTTCCACTTTTTTGTTTATTATATGTGGAAGCATAATAAAAGTTAACATAAAATTTATATGCTTGTGGGCTGGGTTGCTCAGTGGTAGAGTACTTGACTAGTATGTGTGAGGCACTGGTTCAATTCTCAGTACTGCATATAAATTAACAAATAAAATAAAGGTCCTTCAGCAACAAAAATATGTATAAAAATAATTTTTAAAATGTATATGCATTTAATTTCATAAGTTGTGGCAGGATGATCATGATCAGGGAAATCTATAAAGGTTAATGCAACATAATTCCCTTGCTTTTACCTGATGGTGGGCAGATTAGTACTTAAACTCTCAGCATAAGGAAGAGAACAAATTTATGTAACTGATGATCTTTGGTATGACTATTCCTTATTACAGCCTTTAAACAAAGGGATATAGACATTGTGAGAAGATAGGCAAATCCAGATGGAGATATACCATTAGGATATTTAAAAAAAACTTTTTAGCTTGTTAATAAGACCATGTTGAAAGGCTGTGGCTGTGGCTCAGTGGTAGAGCACTTGCTTAGCATGCGTGAGACACTGGGTTCGATCCTCAGCACCACATAAAAATAAAATAATAAAATAAAGATATTGTGCCCACCTATAACTAAAAAATAAATATTAACAAATGTAAGCTCATGTTGAAGTGAAATGTTTCTCCACCATAGCCTATTGATTTTTTTGTCCTGATGTGCATATGGTTGAAGTCAATTTGGATTCTAATGATAAGGTAAAAAGAGCTTAGGAAAACCTTGCTTGGTACTTGAACTTGAAACACAGCTGTATGGTCCTTCAAGGTATCTCCTTTGCTGATGACTAAGAAAAGCCTCTGACTTGGTTGAACTTCTATATTTGCAGTTGCTAATTGCCTATGCCTGACTCTAATCTGAAACCTGATGCTGTTTTCTGTATGCCATTTGATCCTCAACACTAACTGTTCTGAATTGAAACTGGATGAAATTGCTCCTCCACTTGAAAAGCAGAACACAAACAGAGACTTGCAGGTTTAAGACATTCCTCTGTGTGACCATATATACTGTGAAAGCGCCCTGGATGTTGACTGAACTATCTGGGTTACATATGGCTGCTCAGGGATTTTTCTAATGTGACCTTTTAACAGAATTTTTGAAGAACTTTTAAATAGTTCATTTCCAATACAGAGATTAATTGTATTCTGAACTTGTAATTCTAGTTGAAAGTTACAAGTAAGAGAAGCATAGCACAGGGCTGTGACATGTCTACCTACTTATGACAAATTAGACACTTGACTCTTTAAGGATGGCTGGATATTGTTGACTTGTTCTATTTGACTCTGGATTAGCTGCAGTTTGTGATTGTGGATTGGTTGCCTAAGTCTACTTTCCTTGCCTTTCTCCTGTTAAACACACCTTAGTAACATAGTTTAAATATTCAATATGGATATTTTCAGAAAGAAATGATTCTTTTTTTGACTGTCATTGGATAAAAGGCCAGGACAAAAGAGGTAGGGACTGTATAAACACATTTTGAACACTTTTGAAAATCTAGGCTTTGATCAAAACAATTGTTTTTCCATGAAAATACTTTGGTCCTTCTTGAATAAAATTTATCCAGATGAATCATCCAGGTGAGACCAAAAAAATGATTGGGAAAAATGTAAATTATGATTACTGAATGAGACAACTGTTTCAGTTGTAACAACTGAAAAAACAACAGAAAACAGGCTCCCAGAGAGGCAGGGAAGGAAGGATAAGGCACCAGAGACCTTCGTTTGTCAGAACTGCTCCTAGAAGCTTTCTCCTCCTCCCCAGTGAAAGCATAAGTATTATCTTCAAGCTACTGAGAGTGCTTTGAATTCAAACTGACTGCTGAGCCTAAGATCATATCTGACAATGCTGATTATAAGACAGTACGGGTGGTCCCAGATCCTGTATTTTCTATGAAGATCACATCTGAATTATGTATCGACACAAGACAGATGTACTGACATCATGGACAAACAAAATTTGGGGGAACTGACTGCCTTCAGGCAGTCTGTCTAAAACCAAGGACTACAATGAATTAATTAGACTAGACTGAAAATCCTGGGAAGATGTGCCTTTGGGGGAAGTCACTTTGGAGGTCCTGTTAATCTGTACATTCTGAGTGTGCTTTCCTTGGGATGAACTAACAATTGCCTAATACCAGAGGGCACAGGGGTAACATTCATGCCCTCTGATATTGTTCTTCTCTCATGTGTGCTCTGTGTTTATGTTGCCATAGCCTTGGAAGGCATTCAAGTCAGCTTTGACTTACTGGTCAGAGTTGTGCTATACTTTATTGGTTGACTCATGTTCTAAAAATTGTTAATACAAAAACTCATGTAGGAAGACACTTAGCTGTCTAAAGTAGATCTCTGTGGTTAATGGGTTTTTTTTTTTTTTTTTTTGGACTGGCTAAATGCTGGACCCCTAAAGGGCATAAACTGAGATCAATACTACAGATTTATTCTTGTCCTGCTAACTGGGATCTTACTGATGAAGACACCCTGTCCAAGAACCAAGGTTGGGGGGTGAATTGTGGAAAAGAGAGTTAACATAGCCGGTCCAAGGCTGCTACACTCAGGAAAAACCTGCTTGCAATTTGTATTCTTGGCCTGGGGATTTGTTGGGTAACCAATTTCCTGCCCTAATTATAAACTTTCCCAGTTGATACACACGCTTGCTATGCCTAAATATTTTGTAAAAACAGTATGGTTTGTGCTGAGTTACCTTCTGGGAGTGTGAAATTTTGTATGTTCTGGTGCATATGTGATTAACCCCTAGTGAAAACCTTGGGAAATCAGTATGTTATGAGCTTCCACTAGACAATACTTCACAGGAGTTGTCACAACTCATTGTTTGCTGGCAGCTGGAATTTTGCTGGGGCCCCTTCGGCTGTGGCTCTCAACATCTCCCCCTCTCTGTTTAAACAACAAGCATGTGGCTTAGGGTTGGGCTGCCGCCAGCGGCAGCTATGGGAGTCGGGTTGCTGCGAGTGAAAGGTCCCAGACGCGTCTGCGGTTCCGGCCAGCCCCGCCACCCTCAGCCTCTCCCACCCTAGTCTCAGTGCCAGGTGCTGAGGGAAGAGATGGCGCTAGCCTCGGGAGCCCCGCACACACCCCTGGCTGCCTCCGACACCGCCCTCCTTCCCTTCGCTGCGGCTGGCCTCGCCGGTGCTAGGCTACTCTGCGGGAAGGCGGCGTCGTTGGCGACGGCTGCGTGCTGTGGAGAATCCTGCTGCCCTCCAGCCTTGCTCCTTCGCCTGGCCCTGCAGGGGCCGAGAAAGCTCGGCGCCCGCCCTTCCGCTCGCCTTCTTCGTCAGCCGGTTGGAGCAGCGTTGGTCCGGGAGGTCTCTGGGCTGAGGCGGAGGCAGCTCCTCCGCTCCATCATGTCTGCGGGCGGAGACTTCGGGAATCCGCTGAGGAAATTCAAGCTGGTGTTCCTAGGAGAGCAGAGCGAATTGCATCACCTAGGGGAGACATCCTTGGATATGATAGTTCAGTGAAGTTGGCTTGCAGCTGAGTTTTTCTACTGTGATCCCCAGTTGGAAAAACATCCTTGATCACCAGATTCATGTATGACAGTTTTGACAACACTTATCAGGCAACAATTGGCATTGACTTTTTATCAAAAACCATGTACTTGGAGGATCGAACAGTAAGATTGCAATTATGGGACACAGCAGGTCAAGAGCGGTTCAGGAGCTTGATTCCTAGCTACATTCATGACTCCACTGTGGCAGTTGTTGTTTATGATATCACAAATGTTAACTCATTCCAGCAAACTACAAAATGGATTGATGATGTCAGAACAGAAAGAGGAAGTGATGTTATCATCATGCTAGTAGGAAATAAAACAGATCTTGCTGACAAGAGGCAAGTTTCAATTGAGGAAGAAGAGAGGAAAGCCAAAGAACTGAATGTTATGTTCATTGAAACCAGTGCAAAAGCAGGATACAATGTAAAGCAGCTCTTTACGTGTAGCAGCGGCTTTACCTGGAATGGAAAGCACACAGGACAGAAGCAGAGAAGACATGATTGACATTAAACTGGAAAAGCTTCAGGAACAACCAGTTAGTGAAGGAGGCTGTTCCTGCTAATCCCTCATGGCATCTTCAACCCTTCTCCAGAAGCTCACTGCTTTGGCTCCCGTACTCTTTCATTGACTGCAGTGTGAATATTGGCTTGAACCTTTTCCCTTCAGTAATAACGTATTGCAATTCATCATTGCTGCCTGTCTCGTGGAGATGATCTATTAGCTTCACAAGCACAAAACAGTCAGTGTCTTCATTATTTATATTTTACAAAAAGCCAAAATATTCCAGCATATTCCAGTGATAACCTTAAAGATCAGATACATTTTCTTAACATTTTTCTTTTTTTAATGTTATGATAATGTACTTAAAAATGATGGAAATCTCAACAATATGAGCATGGCTTGGTTAAGGAGCAGTATGTTCTCAGCAGCATTTACCTACCTACTTGATCTTTCCCTGCTTTTCTCACCTCTCTCTTATCTGCATTCCCTATTCTCACCCTCCCACAAAGCAAACAGGAGGTGGCAATGCAGCAAACCCATTGGAATTATCTTTCAGTTTTATATATAGCCACTTGCTCTAGGCCAAGATGTCCAAAATTATTCTTGAGCACTGATATAAATTACTTAGACCTTCTTTGAGATCAAAACTTAGCCATCATGGTGGGCAATGCTTAAATGAGGAAAGGGTTCTGGTGTGTCCTCAAAATGAGTCCTAATGAACATACTGAGTACTTACAAGTAGATGAGCATAAAATTTATTTTTGACCAAGACAAATGACCCTTTCACATGTACTTTATTAGACTCTGGGAGAAAAAAAATAACCAAATGCTTCAGAACAAGTTTTTGATATTTAATTATTCATGATAAAATCAGTTCCAATTAACTCTTTCTCCCAAGGTTTTTAAAATTGTTGAGATAGCTATTGTTTGTTTTAAAACAAAAAAACTCCACCTCACCCTTTTGAGCAATAGATTTTGCTTGTATTTTCTTTCTTTTAAAAAATGCTATGCAGGCAAGGCATTGTGAAAATCAAATTCCTTTAAGAAACAGTGGAAGAATTTAAATTTGATGATTTGATCAAAACTATAACAAATAGAAATAATGATATCTAAAGCTTACCCACAAAAGAACCCTCACAGAATAGCAAATATCCTACTCTGAACATGTGAAGTCAAAATTAAAATGGAAATAATTTTCTTGTAAGCCCCTAGAGGCAGATAAGAACATTGAAAAGGGAAAGGAGAGAATGGAAATAAAAGTCAATCCCTTAAAACACTGCAAACAAATATACTAGGAGTGCACCCTTTTAATCTTTACTAGTTATTGTGACATTGCTGTGTAAGTTAATAAACACATATATTAAATTATGTAGAGACATTAATGAACAAGAGCAAGTCGTGGCAGCTGCAGTAAAACAGGCTTTAGATGCCAGAGACATTAATGAACAAGGGCAAATTGTGGCAGCTGCAGTAAAACAGGCTTTAGATGCCAGGTCAAGAACATGCTACAATTGTGAACAAACAGGACATTTTAAAAGGAATTGCCCCATTGGAGGAGGGTTTAACAAAACTAGGTATCAAAGGAGTAGAATACCAGGTATTTGCCCACGATGCCGTAGAGGGAGACATTGGGCTAATGAATGCCATTCTCAAACCACCATAGAGGGTACTCCATTATCAAAAAACGAACAAGGACCAGGTGTTTATCCACGTTATCGTGGAGAAAGGCATCAGGCTCCGTTGCCAAAAAATGGACAGGGGGGCCCAATGCTCCGGGGCCCAAAACCACAAATATACGGAGCACTGGAGGAACCCAGCAACCCCATCAGGGTAGTGCCCAGGACACATTGTCCATCAGATCCCTCATCAGACAAACCAGAGGGAGCGCAGGGTTGGACATCTGTGCCTCCGCCAGAGCAGTACTAACTCCAGAGATGGGAGTTCAAATCATTCCCACAGGGGTGAAAGGACCTCTTCCCAAAGGAACAGTAGGCTTATTATTGGGACGCAGCTCTTCTACTCTAAAAGGACTTATGATAAGTCCTGGGGTAATTGATCCCGATTATGAAGGTGAAATAAAAATTATAGCCAGTTCTCCAAAGGGTATATCAGTAATTTCACCAGGAGATAGAATAGCACAGTTACTAATAATACCCAGCCTACATGATAAATTTTCCAGTCGTACTGTAGAAAGAGGTTCCAAGGGATTAGGCTCCACAGGTGTACATTGGGCTGTGCTTTCTTTAAATTTAGATTCTCGCCCCATGCTAAAACTAAATATTCAAGGACATGAATTTAATGGGCTACTGGATACAGGTGCAGACCTTAGCATCATCTCTCGTCAAGAATGGCCAAAACATTGGCCATTACAACAAGCCACTCAAACGCTTCGAGGCCTAGGAGTGGCGACTAATCCCCATAGAAGTGCAATGGTATTAGATTGGAAGGATCCTGAAGGATGTGAAGGAACTATACAGCCATATGTATTGGATCATCTTCCCGTAAATTTATGGGGACGAGATGTCCTAGATCAATTAGGTTTGACATTAACAAATAACATCAACCAAAATGCACCCACTATTATGACTAGACAAGGTTTTAGGAAAGGAAAAAGATTAGAAAAACAAGAACAAGGTATAGCAGCACCAATACGAATAGATCAAGGAACAGACAGACATGGGTTGGATTTTCAGAAAGGGCCACTGAGACAATAAAAATTACTTGGAAATCAGAAAGACCAGTATGGGTTCCTCAGTGGCCCCTGACTAAAGAAAAGATACAAGCAGCCCATGACCTGGTCAAACAACAATTAGTGGAAGGACATATACAACCTTCTGTATCTCCCCATAATACTCCCATTTTTGTCATCAAAAAGAAATCTGGTAAATGGAGATTATTGCAAGATTTAAGAGCCATTAATAATGAGATGGTTATTATGGGACCTGCTCAATCAGGGATTCCTCAGTTGTCTGCTTTGCTAAAAACCTGGTATGTTTTAGTTATAGATATTAAAGATTGTTTTTTTTCAATTCCAATTCATCCTGAGGATAGTCCACGTTTTGCATTTACTATCCCTGCACTGAATCATGAAGGTTCTGATCAGAGATATGAATGGAAAGTACTCCCTCAAGGGATGGCTAACAGCCCAACTATGTGTCAAATTTATGTTAACAAAGTAATCCAGCCACTTAGAAATCAAAATCCTGAAGTACAAATATTTCACTATATGGATGATGTATTATTAGCACACAAAGCTAAAAACACATTGCTAGAATGTTATGCCACACTTACAAACTTATTAAAAAATTATAATCTAGAGATAGCAATAGATAAAGTACAATTAAATTTTCCAATTAATTATTTAGGAGTTCTATTATCCTCAACCATGGTCCGTCCACCAAAAATTCAAATACGAGTAGATCAACTCAAATCACTTAATGACTTTCAAAAGTTATTAGGAGACATAAATTGGATAAGGCCTTATTTAGGTATACCAACAGGAGAGTTGGGACCTTTATTTGATATCCTAAAAGGTCCATCAGATCCAAATTCACCCCGAATGTTAACGCCTGAAGCAAGAAAGGCATTAAAAATTATTGAAACATATATGGAAAATATGCATTTGGATAGAATTGATATAAGTTTGCCTTTATTATTTATTGTGCTACCAACAAAAAATATTCCTACAGGAGTATTTTGGCAAGAAGGTCCATTATTATGGATACATTTATCTTATTCTCCTAACACTATTCTTACTAGGTATCCTGAGGCTGTAGGACAATTAATACTCAAAGGAATAAAAGCAGCAAAGGGAGTGTTTGGAATTTCTCCCAATAAAATTATTACTCCATATACTATGAATCAAATTGATGAGTTAGCTAATGAGTTAAATACTTGGGCAATAATCATGTGCAAATCTAATGTTTCATTTGATAACCACTTACCATCTAATCCTTTATTATCTTTTTGGTCATCGCATCCTGTAATTTTTCCAAAAATGACAAGAAAAACACCTATCATGAATGCTCCAAATATATTCACTGATGGATCAAATAATGGTACAGCAGCAGTAGTTACCCCTGATCAAACTTTTACATTTTTAGTACCCAAACAATCAGCTCAAAAGGTAGAGCTTAATGCAGTATTACAAGCTTTTGTGATGTTTAAAGATTCTGTATTTAATTTATTTTCCGATAGTCAGTATATAGTTAATGCTATAGTATCCCTTGAAGATGCTGGTAGGATTTCCCCTTCCTCTACTGTTTTCTCTTTGCTTTCCACTATACAAAGTCTAATCTGGGACAGAAAAGATCCATTCTTTATAGGACATATCAGGGCACATACAGGATTGCCTGGAGCCCTTAGTTTGGGCAATGATTTAGCAGATAAAACTACACATGACATACATATTTTCTTTACACTAGAAGACGCTATAAATTTTCATAAAAGGTTCCATGTCAATGCTAATACTTTACAAAAGTGTTTTAAAATAACTAAGGAACAAGCTAGACACATAATAAAACAATGTCAAAATTGTGTGACCTTTTTACCACAAGTTAATCTTGGAGTCAATCCTAGAGGATTGATACCTAACCATATTTGGCAGATGGACGTCACACACTTGCCAGAATTTGGAAAATTAAAATATTTGCATGTTACAGTTGATACTTCTTCTGGATTTTTGATGGGCTCCCTTCATGCCGGAGAAAAGACTAAAGATGTTATAGCTCATTGCTTACAAAATTTTGCCACTCTGGGCATTCCAAAACAGTTAAAAACAGATAATGCCCCTGGTTATACTTCTACCTCTTTTAAACAATTTTGCTCATCATTTGGCATTACTCATATAACAGGAATCCCATTCAATCCACAGGGACAAGGCATAGTTGAAAGAGCTCATCAAACTATTAAAATGTACTTATTAAAGCAAAAAGACGGAATTGGGAAGGGGTATATATTCCCCAAAGATAAACTTAAAATAACCCTTTTTACTCTAAACTTTTTAAATTTGGATTCATCAGGACTTAGTGCTGCGGAAAGGCATATGTGTCCAAAAAATGTGCATAAGCCCAAGGTACTTTGGAAGGATATTCTAACAGGACAATGGAAAGGTCCTGACCCAGT